ATTCCCCCTGAGCTGCCCCAAGGATGCCAAGCAGCACACAGGTTTCTTTGTCTTTGAAGAGCCCGAAGGCAGACCACCTGTTGGCTGGCCAGTCTTCAAGCTCTGGTCTTTTAGTCCGTGGGCTTTACTGTGGCCAGTCTCCTCTTTGTCCCCAGTTAATGAGCCCTTCCTGAGCTCATTATACAACTTCAGCTACTCAGCAAGGCTCAAAGAAAGAATGTAAAACCCACCCAGTTCCTGTCTAAAACCCAGCAGTTTACACAGACACCGTCAGCGAGCTTCTTGCCTTGCTTAGGGTGCCTTGAGTCCCTTCCTATCATAAAACTTGGGCGATTTTGGTGAAGTCATTTTCTTGTTCTGCCAGCACGACTATGTGACTCTTCACTCTCTCTCCAGAATGGCTGTTTGGGTTGCAGTGATGGGCCTCAGAGCTGCCTTGCAGCCTCAGCACCCCTCGTCCTTAGCAGAGATACCAGATTCGTAGCTGCTGCTTCTCCCTCCTGTGTCCTAAAAGTTCTTTTCTGCCTCTCTAGTTTCAGTGCTGTGGAAAAGAAAGTTCTGAACAGGTCCAACTCACTTGCCCAAAGGAGCTCCTAGGACACAAGGTAAGCTTCTCCACCGGGTTCTATCCTGCTGTGTGTAAGACGGCTCTTGCCCTTGGGCGGAAGGTGTGGTTGTAGAAGACCCTCTGCCAGGGGCTTCTGCGCCTCAGCTTTATTCTATGTAGAATAAGCGAAACAATGCTGAGCCCCGGTCTCCTGGCACCCTGGGGAATAATGGTGTGCCGACTTGCCAGTCATGATGCAGATACAATGGCATTAATTAACCACACCAGGGCCAGAGGGCTGCATCCCAAAAATGTTGCTCCACAACCCCTCCATGGGTGTCATGGCACTGATAAGTGCTGCTTTTATTAAGTTCTGCATGTCGGGCACTATGACTTGTGACTTGCTTTTAGCCCCTCATCCTCTCTGCAGGGTGACCACAAGTGCCACCTAAGTGGCCTCCCTCCATTGACTCCATCCTTCTGTCCTGCCTGTATGCCAGGTTCTGAAAACCCTAAAGTGAAAAACACGGTCCCTGCCTCAGTGGCCTCACAGACTAGCCACGGGAGACAGTGCTGTGCCTGAAGTCTGCACAGAGTATAGTGGAGATACAGTGGAGTTAGGGAAGCTTGACAGAGGATGGGATCCTTGAGCTGAGTTTTGACAAAAAAAGGTCATTCCAGGCCCAGAAAGCAGCAGGAACAGAAGCATGGCAGTATTAAACTCCAGGACAGCCGGAAAGGAGGGAGTCCAGAGGGAATGGTGAGAGGCATTTTTGGAGAGGCAGGTAAAGGCATGATTTTACACCTGGAAGTTTGGGGAAGCTGTTGCTTTTAGCAGAGGATTAAAATAATCTGTTTTGCATTGTAGAAAGAGCACTCAGGCTGCTGGGTGTGGAAGGCAGGACAGAAGGATGGAGTCAATGGAGGGAGGCCACTTAGGTGGCACTTGTGGTCACCCTGCAGAGAGGATGAGGGGCTAAAAGCAAGTCACAAACAGTGGGGAGGGACAGAAAGCAACAGATTCAGAGATGTCGAGGGGTGGAATCAACAGGCCTGCGTGACTGATAGGGTGTGAGTGGAAGGTGTAAGGCAGGAAGCCGGGACTTCGGGCAGAGTGGGTAGGTAGAAGCTCTACTTGCTGAGGGAGGTGACTATAGGGAAACGAGCAGAAGACAGCTTCAGTTTTGGTCAAGTTTGCACTTTAGGTGCCTGTGGGGCTTACAGGTAACCTGAGCTAAAGACATGGGAGTAGGAATCCCAGCATATAGGTGGTAGCTGAAGCTTAGGAACGGATGGGAACACGCAGGGGAAGAATGTAGAGTAAGGAAGGAGGTGGGCTAAAATATTGTCATTTAAGGAGTAAGCTGAGGACAAGAAGCCAGAACTAGACTGTGAAGGAGGAGTCAGAGTCAGGGAGAGTCCAAAGACAGTGGCTCCTGGGAAGGAGATGATTTGTCCATAAAGTCAAATGCTGAGAAGAGGACAAGGAAATGAAGGCTGGAAATAAAGGGTTGGATTTGGTGCTTAGAAGATTCTTAGGACGTTTGCCATGCAATTTCAATGAAGCAGTTGGAAAGGCACAGGAACAATGTGGGAAATAAGGAGAGAAACATGAGAATGTGGGGACAATGATAAGAAGAAAACATGTCTTCTTATCTCCATACCTACCACACCATTCCCATGACTGATGCGGGTAGATGCTCAAGAAATATTTGTTGAGTGAATGAATGGTGAATGAATGAAGTATGATAGGAGATGTTGTTAGCTAGATATGAGCAGAGAAAGGGGGACACAGACCAAATGGCAGGAATTGGGCAGAAAGGAGGGGCACAGGCCAAATGCAGGAAACCACACATCATGTAAGCACCAGGGGTCCCTGGGCAGAGAAAGAAAAGCAGGAACCCTGGGGCTGATGAGGGATCATGCCTTTTGGAAGGACAAGTGGCCTGGAGAAGAACAAAGAAAGGTGAGAAAAGGCAGGAATTTCTAGTGTCCGAATGTAACCTTTTGCTCATCATGCCCTCGTTTCAATAAAATTAGCCTTGCAGATCAGAAGTACCCATCATGCACCGATGCCATGACACTTCCGATCCAGACTAAATAAGGACAAAAATCCCT